GTGATAGAACGGTTGTAATGAAGAGGTATGATTACGTTGACGATCCAAACTAGAAAGAGGCCGATGCCTCGCTTTATTACTCTTTGATACCATCGCTTATTTTCTCGCACTGCAATAATATCATAGCTCATTTGACAGCCCGAAGGGCTTTTCGAGCAGTAGTACAGTTAACGAAATAAGCTAGTCTAATTAAAATATAACAGCTGAAACGATGAGCAACGTGATGAGCGAGCAATCAGCGATCATAAAATCGCTAGTTGTGACGTTCTGAAAGCAAAATTGATAAATTTTATATGTCATACACAAACTTTACCACCTCTTCTTGCTTCTTACAAATAAAAATGATCATTATAGTATCCCATAGTTTCATAATTACGAAACTAGCATTTTAGCTGTAATGAGTAATTGCAAGCGATCATACGGGGTATAACCATAGAGGTAACTCTAAGACCACTGGGTCCCGAAGAAAATCATTATTATTTTTGGCTCACTCAGTACCAGAACAACGGTCCCAAGCAGTCCCAAGCTATTTCACTCACCCCTGCATGTTCTGCATGAATCCACACACCCCTGATGTTATCTGTCAAACTTTCATAGCGAATCAAAACAAACATAGTGTAGTAATAGAATTTCAACTAGAATAGGGTACGTTAATCGTTTGCTTGGGACCAATAGGCTACTAAAGTGGTGAGCCAATTTAAAATCGTTAGTTTCGTATTGATTGTTGGTATAACCAACAATCAATACGAAACTAACGATTTTAAATTGGCTCACCACTTTAGTAGCCTATTGGTCCCAAGCAAACGATTAACGTACCCTATTCTAGTCTAAATTCTAGTACTACGCAATGTTTGTTTTGATTCGCTATGAAAGTTTGACAGATAAAATGAGGGGTTATTGGTTTTTCCTATGTTTCGAGGGGTGATTCGACAAGCTTGGGACCAAAGATAGTACCAGAGGTGAGCCAAAAAGTTGAGCACGTTTCTTCGGGACCTACTTGTCTTAGAGTTACCTCTATGGTATAACCATAGAGGTAGCTCTAAAACTAGAAGGTCCCGAATTAACGTGCTCAACTTTTTGGCTCAGCTCTGGTACTCTCTTCGGTCCCAAGCTAATCGATTCACCCCTCGAAACATAGGAAAAACCAATAACCCCTCATTTTATCTGTCAAACTTTCATAGCAAATCAAAACAAACCTTGCGTAGTACTAGAATTTCGACTAGAATGGGGTACGTTCATCGTTTGCTTGGGACCAATAGTCAAGTAGTGAGCCAATTTAAAATCGTTAGTTTCGTATTGATTGTTGGTATAACACTTTTGGGTCATTCTTGACTTGTCCGGGGGTGAGATTTGAACTCGTGACTTTGGCGTAAGAGGTATGGATGCTAACCACTATGCTGGGGTCGCCCGGATTGGACACAAACGAAATACCTTCATCATGGCTGTCAATCATCCAAATACCGATTCCGAAAACTAGAGGTCCACAGTCAACGAACGATTACCGAAGAATAACGCTCTGCTCACCAGCTTACAAAATATACGTCAGAATTCTCTTGAATAGAATAGAAACGTAATTACCGCCGTTACCAACGTATTAAATAGCGTTCCAAGCCAAAAGGAGTGCAGCAGATCCCATTTTTGTACTGCGCAGAATACTGGATGAAAGATGGTGGAAAGGAGCCCCAACAATAATTGTATATCTGGACTTGAAGTAAGCTTTCGATAGAATCGACACTACACTAATAGGACCGCTTCAATTCTCATGACCATATATGGGTGCGTCTCGAAAGCATTAATAAACAGGAGGCTTGTCTAATGCCTTGTTCAGATTATAGAGTTATAACGAAGACAACAAATCAAGAAGACTGGCAACTCTTCCATTTTCTCATACGAACGCTATGAGACAGGTACAATCGCGTCATCTGCCACTCAAAGGTAAATGCTTCGAACGAATTTGATAGCAAAGATTACATCCTCAGAAGAAGGGTTTGTGTATTTGCTCATTTTTCTATGCGTTGCTTCCACCTTCACTCAAGCGCAGCGCCATTGTATCTGTCGCTTGGATTCTGGCAAAGTTACCAGTCTTCTTGATTTGTCGTCTTCGGTTATAACATGTTGTAGCGCTATCTTGATGCAATTGAAATTATTTTACAACCGTTATACCAACAATCAATACGAAACTAACTATTTTATATTGGCCTATTGGTCCCAAGCAAACAATTAACGTATCCCATTCTAGTCGAAATTCTAGTACTACGCAATGTTTGTTCTGATTCGCTATGAAAGTTTGACAGATAAAATGATCGATTAGCTTGGGACCGAAGAGAGTACCAGAGCTGAGCCAAAAAGTTGAGCACGTTATTTCGGGACCTTCTAGTCTTAGAGTTACCTCTATGGTTATACCAACAATCAATACGAAACTAACGATTTTAAATTGGCTCACCACTTTAGTAGCCTATTGGTCCCAAGCAAACGAGTAACGTACCCTATTCTAGTTGAAATTCTATTACTACACTATGTTTGTTTTGATTCGCTATGAAAGTTTGACAGATAACATCAGGGGTGTGTGGATTCATGCAGAACATGCAGGGGTGAGTGAAATAGCTTGGGACTGCTTGGGACCGTTGCTCTGGTACTGAGTGAGCCAAAAATAATAATGATTTTCTTCGGGACCCAGTGGTCTTAGAGTTACCTCTATGGTTATACCAACAATCAATACGAAACTAACGATTTTAAATTGGCTCACCACTTTAGTAGCCTATTGGTCCCAAGCAAACGATTAACGTACCCTATTCTAGTTGAAATTCTATTACTACTCTAAGTTTCCTGATGAATGTGGGCGTCTTAGTGGAATACCTGTATAATGAGAGAGAGAAGGATTAGTATTTTCCATTTAATTCCACTACTTTATTTGCTTATCCTTGACAGATACGCGTATTTCGTCTACAATGTGCAGACTTCTTCAGTGTCTTGTACTAATACTCGACTCGAGTATTAGTACAAGACACTGAAGAAGTCTGCACATTGTAGACGAAATACGCGTATCTGTCAAGGATAAGCAAATAAAGTAGTGGAATTAAATGGAAAATACTAATCCTTCTCTCTCTCATTATACTCTAAGTTTGTTTTGATTCGCTATGAAAGTTTGACAGATAACATCAGGGGTGTGTGGATTCATGCAGAACATGCAGGGGTGAGTGAAATAGCTTGGGACTGCTTGGGACCGTTGTTCTGGTACTGAGTGAGCCAAAAATAATAATGATTTTCTTCGGGACCCAGTGGTCTTAGAGTTACCTCTATGGTTATACCATGTTATAACTCTGTTGTCTGAACGTACTATAACCAACAATCAATACGAAACTAACGATTTTAAATTGGCTCACCACTTTAGTAGCCTATTGGTCCCAAGCAAACGATTAACGTACCCTATTCTAGTCGAAATTCTATTACTACACTACGTTTGTTTTGATTCGCTATGAAAGTTTGACAGATAACATCAGGGGTGTGTGGATTCATGCAGAACATGCAGGGGTGAGTGAAATAGCTTGGGACTGCTTGGGACCGTTGTTCTGGTACTGAGTGAGCCAAAAATAATAATGATTTTCTTCGGGACCCAGTGGTCTTAGAGTTACCTCTATGCTATAACCAACCATAGAGGTAACTCTAAGACTAGAAGGTCCCGAAGAAACGTGCTCAACTGTTTGGCTCAGCTCTGGTACTATCTTCGGTCCCAAGCTAATCGAGTCACCCCTTGAAACGTAGGAAAATCCACTAACCCCTCATTTTATCTGTCAAACTTTCATAGCGAATCAAAACAAACATAGTGTAGTACTAGAATTCCGACTAGAATTGGCTACGTTAATCGTTTGCTTGGGACCAATAGGCTAGTCAAGTAGTGAGCCAATTTAAAATCGTTAGTTTCGTATTGATTGTTGCTATAACGGAGGAAACATAAGTACAATGGTTCAGGCATACAACAAGGGTGCCCATTAAGTCCTATTATCATCATAATTATGCTGCATAGTGTATTAACTACGTTACGCGAATTTCTTTCGGAACTGAATATCTATCAAACAATTTTCTAGCATAGCTCTTGATCTGGTAGTAACATATGCAGATGACCTTACTTTTGTGTGCACAAGTATGGATGATGTATGCATTCAAGCTGAACATTGCATTAGGTCCTAAGTAACATTGACAGAATCTCTTCGTCTTCGACTTTCTCTTTGTATCCCCAACGCCTTGTAAAGACATTCCCAGCTTTTTCAGCACACAGATCGATAAAAGAAGCTTTTATCTAGCATCTATTACGACAAAGAGAATCGATCATCGCGTTTACGCCCTTATGCATGCTCACTGTCGATGTAATTTATTGACTTTGTCAGCTCCTAAACGCTTACTCTATGTAGATGGGTTTTCTTTGCACAATTGACTCGATGTTGGCCAAACGAAACACTACATAAACTTTTAAGTGCACAACTTTGCTTTATTGCAATTGATTCAAACATATTGACTGCAATCTACCACGTTGGTAACCTTGTTCGGCCATCTTTTTGAAATAAATGAGTTGTTAATCTGTCTTGGGAAGTGTTTATATAGTTGTTTTGTGGCCATCACTTTTCGTTTCCAACTGGAGGTTTTTAGGTTTCCAAAGACACACGTAGGATGTAACAAGATTATTGCGGCTTCTAATAACTTACACTCTTCGGAAGGTACATTGTGTATGCGTTGTTTTTGTTGTTGCTGGATTTGGTTTGATGTTTGATCTTTATAAAACGGCATTGTTGATCAACGAAAGCGGATTATTTTTCGGCAATTCAAGCAGTGCCGGTCGGCGGTTTGAAAGTAGATACCTATTCTATCGCTTATACCGCAGAGGAGGATGAGTGTTGGCCCGTGGTTTAAAGCTCTGTCCAATAGAACGGTTTCTTCAGGCTGTAAGTAATGTGGCAACAGGTAGAAAATATGAACGTGACAACTACGCTTTAAGCCCGGCTGCTCTTGAACCCGTCCAATACATTTATTGCTCGTCCTACCTATGCTCGTTTAATGTTTACACGCCGTTACTCGCTGCCGATGGAGACGGATGGCGTTTCGGTGTTGACTGGGTAGGTGGGGGTGGTTGTTTGGTACGTTAGTTCGGTCGACCACGATGGTGACGATGATGATGATGATGATGATGATGATGGAGACTGTGTGTAGTGCGTTCCTACAAGCATGTAGGTATTGTATGCCTATGTTTACCTCTGTTACCTCAGCTGTGAGTCAATTCATTTCCGGTGTATTTCAGCGATTTCCACCTCGCAGGAGGACTTTTTGCGATTGGCTCGGCCGGCAGCCCGGGCCGCTATTTGCTGGGAGCTACGAACCACCGTGAGATACACCGGACGATAGAGGGGTGCCAGGTCACGGTATTCGTTGTCGCTGACATTACATCCGTCGTACACTTCCCCCAGCAGGAATTCCGGCCCGATATAAATACCACCTTCCACGTGATCAATTGCGGGCTCTAAAAGAAGAGAAAGGGAATTTATAAATTTTTAGTTGCGAAATGTTCAACTCTTAAAAACAAAAAAAATAATGTCATAAATAAAGTATGATTTCAAGTTGAAGTTGGTGTTTTTTGGTATTATACCCAAGTAGCAATTCAACAGCCTTTTGGCTTTCACTCTGATTTATCGTGGTTTTATAATGAAAATAACTAATATTTTTAGTTTCAATACAGCATTCAATAGTGTACAACATTCTTGGTAAGTAGTTCAGCATTTTGCTGTTTTTAAAACCTTTTAAAGTCTGGCGAGAAAGTCAAAACGTGTCTGGTTTTTAAAATGAATTTAATGCAGCACTCTATCCCTTCATAAAACTGTAATGCTAATAAATCATAAACCTCCTTATCATAGCAGCGATTTCATTCGGCGAAAGGGTTAACTTTTCCAAACATTCCAAGCAAGCGCACACAAACTTCGTCGCATCATCCGGGAGAAGGGAAACTTTTCGGAAACGATTGAGCCTCCACGTTTCCCAAATTATATAGATACTTTCCTGAGTAACTGCTTCCAATGGGAGAAAATCAGTCTTATTGAGGGTGTCACGCAACTCGTTGACCTAACGCTGGAGAAGAACTTTGTGCAGTGATCAGGCCTGAACATACTCATGACAGTTAAAAAACTACTTATCGAAATTATGAAACTATGAAACTATGAGATATTATAATAATAATTTTTATATGTAAGATGCAAGTAGAGGACGTAAAGTTTGTATATGACTATTTACACCAAGCACTGTGATTTTATTTTAAAAGTATGCCATTAGATTACCTATAGCTTGAAACGGATAATGTGATTGGAATTAAGTCGATAGGTTGTATCGTTGTCGAGAAATCGTTAAAAACGTACCTTGTAAATCGCGAAAAATCGTGTAAAATACGGCGTAAAAAAGACTTCAGTGTACTTGGGACAGATAGCACATAACATATGTGGAACTTAATGCAAAAATCTGACCCCTGCGAATTGTCAATGGTCACGGTAATGCGTAATTGACTTCTCGACACAAGATCTCACTAATACAACCTAGCTAGTGTAGCCGTGTAAAATCGATTTGTTTATTATTTTCAACCACGAAATCAGCTGTCAAAGTGTTCGACTTGACAGCGGTTTGTTTTTTATTTTCAACCAGTAAAATGCATGTATTAGTGAAACTGCTCACTAATACTAACAGTGGTAGAGAACTCTATGAAATGGTGTTCGTCCGCTATTTAAATGCTTGACGGTGTTTGACGTGTGGGCATTCTTTTTTCGACTAGCTCGACAGGAGACTTTCAAAGGATTTTTTAGCTAGTATTTTATAGTCGCTTAGAAGCCAATCATGAGCGTTGTTATTTAGCAATATTGCATCTTATTGGTTTGCATTGGATTCATGACGGAAATTATGTTTATTGAATATAATGTAATTGATCAAGGGGGGGGGGGGAATCTTGGGATCAAATCGAAGAGTTGAGGATTACGTAGAATAGGTGTAAAACTATCATTTTATCCGTGGTATGTTGAAATATTAACTTTGATACAGCTAACTAGGAGTCCCAGCCTGAGACCTTAGCCATAGTGGTCGAAAAAAAAGTTTGTTAAGATTGGGTGTGGCTCCTCTTTTGTCTTTTCAATCAACAAGGATCAACCTTACCATGTTTTTGATAAAAAAGTAATTGGAGTAGTTCTTTGTGTTGGGATTTTTGAGGAAATTTTCAATTGACGGAATTGAGAAACATAGGGATATCATAGATATTGCAGGTATCGATAAGCACTCGATATCAATTATGGTTCTGCTTACAAAATTCTTGCGAACGGAACGATGCAAAGTCAGCTCAAAACACTGAATATTTTTCAAATGGTACTTCTGACTCTTGTTCCAAATTTTGCTGCTTCTCTGTGGACTTCAAAATGTAAGCACTTAATTCCAAATTTACGTGGTCATGTTTTTCCTCCTACGAAACCTAATGAAATCAAAGTTTGATGAAATGTTACATACATGTTTCATCTAAGTTTACCACAGTTTTGCTGTGTGAATCAAGGTGATGAATTTGTTAAAGTTAGCTATATAATTTTAAATAAAGCACATAAATGGTTAAGGAAATAGTAAGACATGAGTTCAGGAGTGCTAGGCAGGCATGGAAAATCATTTACATTCATTTAATGCAATCATTTACATTCATTTGCCTCTAACTTTTTTCATCAACAGCATTCCGCAAAATGATGTATAGAGCTTTAGTAGGTTTTGTTATTAGCTACAACTTTTGCCCATAACTCAAATGCATCATGAATAAGAGCGGGCAGAACTTGTTACTGTTTTTCAGTGAAAGTAAAATACAATCACTGTAAAACTATATTAGCTTCTGTTCGCTCTGGTTCGTCATACATAAGAGATACGGATTTGAAATGGTTACAAAAGTTGTAACTAATAACAAAACCTACAAAAGTTCCATACATCATTTTGCGGAATTCTGTTGATGAAAAAATTAGGGGCAAACGAAATGAATGCAAATGATTTTCCATGCCTGGTTCTAGGAACACATAGAATTATTTGCGTGGGCGTACTTTGGTTCGCGTGTAAAGGGCCTTAGAAAGTTTGTTTACAAATGCTTTTGTGCCGTTATCAAATGTTATGCCTGAATTATCCTACTAGGCAAGCCTTCCTTTTACAACTTTCTTCATATATAACTAAGTACCTGAGCAAAGTCTGAGATCAAATTAAAATCTTAATTTGATGTTGTGATTTTGCTGATAATGATTGCTCAGGTTGCAGTCATTTTGGTCGTTTTAACGGTTAAAATATCAAAATTGAGAACAAAAAAATCTTCCTGTGACATCACATTGAAAACTAATTTTGCTATCAGTGAGAGCAAACTTAAAACTCAATTTGATATCATTTTTTCCTGTTGATAACAAAACAAGTATTCAATTTGTTGTTATGCTAAGGCAATGAAAACAAACCCGCAACAACATATTTTTGAAGAGCAAATGTACAGCAAAATAAAAACAAAATTTGGTATCAAATTTGTTATTTTCGTAAACTGAAATCAAATTGTGATTTCAGTTTGATGTTGATATCAAAACTTGATTTCAATTTGCTGTTATTTTGATGCTGGTCTCCCGAGCAAAGCCCAAGCAAAGTCCACCATCAAAATGACAGCAAATTGAAAACAAGTTTTGATATCAACATCAAACTGAAATCATAATTTGATTTCAGTTTACGCAATTAACAAATTTCCGAAAGATTCAATGGAAAGTTTATGACTAAACCTCCAAGCTTATACTACCTGGAAAAACTTAAAAAACCGGGAATTCGCAAGGAATTTTATTTTTCCTGAAAATGCCTAGAAGTATCAGGGAATTTTAAATGAAAACATTTAATATTCCTAGTTATTTTCTTTCACGCATTGAACTTTATAGATCCAGAATGGATTGATTTTCAGTAAAAAATACATTTTTAAAATTCAGAGGCTTCAAATGATTTTTTTTTTTGGTTCTAGAATATGCATATTTCCCACCAATTTTATAAATTCTGAAGTGAAAAGTTATAATACTTCAAAAATTTTTAAAGAATCTGGAGTCAAATTCCCTGCACAGTGTTAAGGCTCATGAAATTTCATTATAATCTCTAAAGACCTCATTCCACGGGAGTTCTGGGAAAAAATATGAGAAAAACATCAACTGCAATCTGCTTTCATGGTACTTCTGAGGAATTTCAGACTTCATGTGAAGCCTGAGCCTAAGATAGTAAACTCCAAGCGAATTTTCATTAGAAATCTCCGTTGAATATGGAATGGACTGAAAGTTCCCAAAATATTCTTGAATTTAATTAAACTGCCTTGAAGTTCTTTTTAGCTTGAGAAACTAACCTGGTGCTCGCAATACTTCTCATCATTTTTTTTTAACTTCTATAAACTTTTTCGGACTTCCCAAAGTTTCCACAATTTTCCTATCGAACATGAATCTTCTCTAAAGTGTTAAAAATTCACTGAATTTCTCGAAACTTTTTTTTTTTTAATTTGTAAACAATTTTCCTGCTCTGGAACATCTCTGCTCTGAAGATGTCTGTTCTTTCTTGAAGTTTTGTGTGTGTTTAGAGCTTTATTAGTAAGTTCAATATCTTTCTCGAAGTTCTCGAACTTCTCTAAAGTGTTTGCAGTTCTCATGAAGCTTGTTGTACTACCATGAATTTAATTGAACTGTTCTAAAAATGTTTAAGCTTGCGTGAACTTCTGGACCAATGTGAAAACCTCAATAGTTTTCTTAACTTCTTTAAAGTTCTCGAAAATCTGGGAACTTCTTGAAATTTGCCGCTAATTTAGTGAAACTAACGGAACTGAACTCCCCTGTAATTCCCGTTGTTTTTGGAGCTTTACTAAACTTATTTGAGATGCTCCCGAAATGTCCATAATAGTTCCTGAAATTCTCGGATCTTCCCTTAAAATCTATAGACTTTTATGAAGATCTCGAAATGTTTCTGAAGACCTCTGTACTTCTGTGAAGTATTCGAAGTTATTCTGAAGTTTCAGAAACCTCTCAAGGCTTCCGCAGCGAAATAATGAATACATTTCTATAATTTTCACTGAAATTCTCAAGATTTGTCTGAAGTTCAAAGTATCGAAACTAATTCATAACTTCTTCAATAGTCTAGAGTTTCCTGATGTTTTTAAAACTGCCCAGAATATTGACTACCCTGTCTCATTATGTTTTAGGAGAACCCATAATTTTACTGGAATTGATTCAATTGTCTTTAAGTTCTTCCCTGCAAGAAGTGTTCTATGCTTGCTGGATTTCTCTAAATTGATCAAAAGTTCCGGTAAATTTTCTGATACATATATATATTTATAATTTCTTGAAGCTTCTAAATTTTTCGGATCAATAGTAGATTCGGAATATCCCACAATTCTAAGGAACTCCTTGTAAGTCGCTGCAAATTTCCTTAAGTTAATGTGAGTTTTCTGATGTTATCTGATCGTCCTCGACGTACTCGAAACTTCCCTGAATATAATGAAACAATCTAAAAATATATAATTTTCTTAGAAGATCTCTGGAATTTCTTGAAAATATCGGAGCTTGCTAAAAGTTCTCGCCTTTTTTTAATTAATGGAATTTCGTTGATGTTCTCTAATCAACTTAGCTAAATTTTCGAATTTTCTTTAGATCTTGGAATTTCCATGATATAACACCCTTGAAATACTCTTACATTTTCCGGATGTCCATATAATTTTTATAGCGTTCCAGAAATTTTCTCTGAACAAACCGAAGTTTCCAAAAATTCCGGTTTCTGCAATTTCCTTGAAATTTTTCGAACTGCCCTTTAATTCTCTGATCTGTCTTGATGTTTTCGGAGCTTCCCTAAAACTCTCAACCCTAATGAAGATCTCGGTTCTGCTTTAAAATAAATTAAATTCTCGTAAACACCTTTAAACTTCCCTGGAATTCTCTGGATTTCCGTGAAGTTCCTGAAATTTTTCTGAAGTTTTCATAAATTTTCTTAAAGTCTCTGTACTGAATCTTTCTAAACATGTTATGGATTCTCGATATTATTTCAGCACCTCATGGAACTATCCTGAATTTGTCTAAACTCACGCTTATAGGTTTTTAAACTGATTTTCATGTCTTAAACACATTTGCGTTAAAAATATATTTCTAACGATTTCATAAATATCATTCTGGAAATTATCCGCAAAAGTTATGGAAAAACCTGTAAAACCCAGGGAACTTTATTTAGCCAAATGAGTGGACAATAGAGAAGAACGATTAAACGTTAAAAAAACACTCTTTACCAGTTCGTCAACTTCGAATTGTTCAAAAATAGAACAAAATGTAGGCTTATCCAGAAGAATGATCAATCTTGAAATAAATTCACGTTTAAAAAAGTTTGAAATAGAGACTTATTACAAGAAAAGTGACTTTAGTGACTTGGCCTTAAAAAAAGTGACTTTTTAGTGACTGGCGTAAAAATAGTGACCAAGTCACTAAAAAGTGACTTGCTACCAGCCCTGCTGTACATTTGTTGTTGCGGGTTTGTTTTCATTGCCTTAGCATAACATCAAATTGAATACTTGTTTTGTTATCAACAGGAAAAATTGATATCATATTTAGTTTTCAGTTTACTCTCACTGATAGCAGAAATAGTTTTCAATGTGATGTCACAGGAAGATTTGTTTGCTCTCAATTATGATATTTTAGCCGTTAAAACGACCAAAATGACAGCAACCTGAGCTATCATTATCAGCAAAATCACAACATCAAATTTAGATTTCAATTTGTTCATTGGTATATTGTTCATCGTAGTCCTTGCAATATTTTTACTTTTACGAGTTGGTGGTTTGCAAGAAACCGATATGCGTAGGTGGTTGGACTAACGGAACGTTCGAAGGTCGTGCATAGCGGGTTTGCGTTTATTGGTCGTAAAATGTTATGGCTCAATGCTCACAAAGTTCTTAAAATAACAAACCTATTCAAGACATTGAAGTATTCTGGGTAAGCGCATTTTAGGACGGTTAGTATTATTTCAAGCCTGAATAAAAAATAATTCTTGTTTTTACTTCGTATAAAATACCGTAGAACCCCGTTAGTTTCAATTGAATATCACAATTAAAAAGCGTTCATCTAGAATTTGTTTAACTCTGGTACCTACAGAGGGGCTAACTGGCGTGTAGGATTACAGTCAACTTTCGTTCGTTAGGCTAAACCCATAGCCCACTATGTGAAAGGTTATCGTTAATTGGACTGAGCTGTCAAGCTGAAAATTGGTTGAAGGATACAATCAGATTGTTTATTATCATGAAAATATTTTAGCAACTTTCCAAATAGTTCATCCATGAGCCCCTCGAAATGGAATCAGCACTGGCAGAAATAACGTTTGACTTCGATTTAGGTGGGTTTCTGCCCAACATACGGGAGCCCAGCTAAAACGTAGCCCACTTAAAGACAAGCGAAATTCGACTGTACCACTTAAACATATTTTAAATCAGCGCTGTTTAATTGCGATTTTAGCTATTCAAATTAACGTGGTTCTACGGTAGTAAAGTAACATATAAGGGGAAATAATTCAGAAGGGTCTAACTCGAAAAGTAAACAGTGACTTGGATCGTCGGTTTCTTACGTATAGCAACACACCCACTCAAACTAACTAAATCATCTGACAGAGAAATGTTTGTTCTATGAGCTTAGTCAGATTCCATGGGTGATGACCACACATTCAAGAGAAATCGACGTTCAAAGTCATTGTTTACGTTTCGAGTTAAGGGTATAACTCATGTTATGTTTCCCCTGATATTGACAATGGTACTTAGGGCCGGGCCCGGCGTAGTGGTCAGCATCCATACCTCTCACGCCAACGTGACGAGTTCAAATCTCATTCCCGGACTACTCCCGGACTTTAACTAAACAAAATGAAAATGGTCTAAAATAAATAGATGTTTTAACCGAGACATAAACTACCATTACACACCGGCTGACGCTTGCATGAAAAATGCATCTCCTTACCGTATCCTATGTGCGGTTGCAGATTGCTGTTCGGTATTCGGAATGGGACCGTTCCAATGGTGATGGGGAAATTGATGTGCAAATCATCGCCCGATTTCTCAAATTCCAAGCATGCCTAAATGTGTGGGGAAAGAAAGGAAGACAGATTTAGCAAACAGCAAGGCGACTTTTTAGTGTTTGTGTTTGGAATGCTGCACATTCAATTGTGGTCTGGTGGTTACGGTTGGGATGCTTGAGGTGATGAAATATGTATCTTGCGTTTTCGTCTGTGGTCTCGCTTGGTTAAGGATTTTCGTTTGTGGCTGATTAACCCATTCAAGGTGGCGGTTGTCGTATGGCATCACCAACATTTTCCACCATTCCTCTACAGGTTTAGTCGTTTGACTTTCCAATTTAAGACTACAATATATATAAGAAATATGCTGCCGGTAATCGCAAGTCAGTCCCATCTGCATTTTTATCAATTTTGAGTTAGCATCATTATTCAGTTTATCATTCTATGTTTTTTGAGATGTGCTATTGAAAAAATGTGGTTTGCTCAAGAAAACTGAAAAACAATACCAAGTCAAATTGCCCCACAGCGAAAAGTAACCGCAAGTCAGTCCCATTAGAAAAAATATATCAGAAATGTTAGACAACACATCGCATCATGAGATTTGTCTCAATACAGCTTTTGTCCACTTCCCCTAGGGTATCTGGAACATGTCCGGATGTGGCCAATATAGTTCTTACGATACTCAGTTTGACCGCCAATGGATATGGCTATGAATTATCATGTGATTTGATGTATCGCTTGATGGATTTTAATTAAAAAGGATTTACTACTTCCCCGGGTATACCCGGAACATGTCCGGGTGTGGCCAACATGGTGCTGGTCACTCATCATGACTCTTATTGATCTTATTTTTGAATTCTCATGTGAATTGATTTATCGCATGGTGGGTTTGGCACGTTTGGCTCTGGTCTGATGAAGACCCATACTCACCGGAATAAGTTCCGGCCATTGCTCTGGAACCAGCGGAACAAATCCAAAAACATTCAATAACGTTCTATGGGACCATAGTATCTTTCTACTGTTCAATACTGTGCTAAACTAATGCAGCATCGGCATGGAATTGTGACTGACTTGCGGTTATTTTTCTCATTCTCGTTAAATGTAATCGCAAGTCAGTCCCACTCAGATTTTGGCCATAAAATAAAAAATTCACGATATTTTTCCAATATTTTTGGGTAAACATAGATGCATTCTATCACATTGTACGTTTATTTTTAAAATTATCCCTCCAAAATAGGTGTCAAATCAGAAAACTTGATAAATCTTTGAACGCCGTTTTCTCATTTCCAGTTTTTTACAGATGGGACTGACTTGCGATTATGGGCAGATGGCCCATGAAACTTCTGTTTTGGGTGAACTTTACTGAAAAACATAAAAATCCAATAGATGCTACCACGATTGTACAGTGTCAAATTGTCGTTACAGCTGAAAACTGGAAAAATCTACTAACGGAAATCGCACAATGATCCGCTATAATGCGCGGTTACTTCCGACACTATGTATAACGTATACTGCCTATAATCGCATATCAGTCCCATATGGATTTTCGTAAATTTTAAGATAACAGCGCTATCAACTATCAAGTGGCATCTACTTTCATATTATGTCATAAAACTACGGACTTTGATCATGAAAAATGTGAAAACAACATCAAGTCAGCATCCTCAAATTCAATCACCCATAAGATAAAGTTAAAGTCTAAAGTCTGCTTTTCGTATTTCCATATTTTTCACTGATATAACATAACATGCAAGCATCATTGCAACTGATTTTAAGTTGAAAAATTTATCAATTAATTTATTATGATTTCCAAATATTTACATGGAAATTGAACTTCGTAACTTTAACTGTCATTTTCTCAATGCCTACTTTTTTCCATACGGGACTGGTATGGGATTATAGACAGTATAGAACGAGAGTAATATCTGTTTTCGTTAGTGGGTTTTTCCAGTTTTCAGCTGTAACGAAAATATCTGTACCCCAGATACCACGGTTTGAATTTCAACGCATAGAAATGAAAAGTCAACAATACGTTACAATTTACGGTTGGCTCATGTGTGGCTACATCCCACGTCAAGACGCTTCATTTGCCGACATAATGTCAGTTACGCCTCATGTAGTCATACAATTACATTTAATACCCGTGTGTTCAGAGAGTCATACATCGTTGGTATGTTTTCCGTACGACAGATACATGCTACATGCTACATACCACCCCACACTCACCGTCAGTGTGTAGTAGATCTGTACCAACCGGCAGACACCCACCAGTGTCGTAGGCACCGTCGGTATCCGCAGGCTGGCACAGGTATCCTGATGATCTCGGGAAGCAACTAGTTCCCCCTTGTACTCGAGTACCAAGTGTTGGACCTCCTTCGTCACGCCGAGCACGCCTCGTTCGACGAAAAACTCGCAAAGCTGGAGCAGTCGAACTTTTAACTTTACGCTCTCCTCACCCTGGTTGTCGACGACGGATTTGAGCTTGAGCGTTTCGCCACAACAGAACGCAGTCCGGTCGAGGGAACAGCTGCAAGGGTAGAAAGGCCAACAATTAATTAGTCGAACGATTTAGTGATCATAACATATATTCGCACGATTTTCCGGTTCGATTCATAATTGATTCATTTTATCGTCCAAAATGCTTACTGCCATTCACCAACACCAACTCCGCACCAAAACGCGGTAGAATCCCTTCGTGGGATGTGATATGAATATTCATGATTTTCTGTTTGCAGCCATTCCTTTTGCATGTTTCCAACAAACGGGGCATTTAAATAGCTGTTGGCTTTAGCAAAATACCACAGAAGACAACTTTTTATTTCGCGGGACTACATCCGCCCATGCTGTGGAACTTGTTATTTGATGATTTTATTGAAATTTCCCACGAAACCGACTCCCTTGAGCACGTGTGCATGTTCATCACTCGTCGATATTTGCTCACCGTGAGTTTTGTACTGAGCTCTGAGGACGTCACTAATTTTTCATTTCTATTCAGTGGACTGCTTCCTAAGACTGTTGCAATGGAAATTGATTGGTCAGAACTCGATGAAGGATTTAAAATAATTGGAATAGCTTAATGGCTACGAAAGCGTTTCACCGAACGGTTTAATTAGATTTCCTTCTTTGGGTTGTGAGAAATTCCTCTGTGTGGTTCGAAAAACGAATGATTCATGACTCGAATGGTAAAATATCATATAGGGTTACGGTATGTAATGTGGGTCTAGTCCTTTCATTCGGCCTATCACGCAAATAAATAATTAATTAAGGAATATTACACAAAAAATAAGGAAAATATTGATCACTGATGGTTGATAAATGTGTACCACACACAAATCAATTTATATCACAACATTTCAATACATTTTCAGCTCTCGTAAGTAATAAAACTGGTTGAGAATATCACAATGTTCGGAGTTTTTAGCCGCCATGACTTATAAGGTTAAGATGGGAAGGTTGACTGACGATCATCAAATGGCCTGATTATGGCATTTATTGATTGGAATTACCTGATAATACACACTAGACGTAAAACTTACAGTTGCTGTTTGAATATTTTATGTTTATTTTAATTGTTTAACAACGTTTTCACAAGTAAAACATGGACCCAACTTTAGGGACACATTTCTTTTCTATGTTCCTAACTATGGCCCATGAAATTCATTTGACAGCATATAGCAATAAGAGTAACGTCAACAATGTTGTTTTGCATTTGGATGATAAGGAACGAACAGGAAGGGAGATTTTTTCTGCCAAACCTGTATAATGAACATCACAATGTTCTGATTTAGATATTCTGCGGTCAAAAGACGATAAGCGAAATTTTTAATTTTTAATTTTTAAATTGAGTGATTTAATGTAGTTTTCGTAAAATTTTCTCTAAGAAATGTTTTGAGGAATGAAGAGCATTAAGTTAACAGTGATAGTGATAAAAAAAAAATACATCAGAAAACGTTACCAAGAGCGTTTTTTTGAGGATCAAACAAGATAGGACGAAGTTGCATCCATAAATAGACCCAATTTGGGGACAATAGACCCATATTACATACATTTCCCTCGTGAGTTATTGTCTTAAAAAAAGTAAGTTTTTCAACTTTTCGTGGTTTCTGATAGCAAACGACATGATAAGCATATCTAAGCATACCATTTAGCAGTAGAATATCGTTTGCAGGTAAATTCATTGATGAGTTATGATTAAAAACGTAATCGATGGCTGCATATTAGACCGAGGTTAGGGACGTATACCCTACCAATCGACGGTGTAAGTTCTACCACCATGAACTCTTCTTGTGAATGGTTCTGAGACTGGTTTTTGATTTTTCTAGGGATTAGATTAGAAACAAGAAACCTCTTCTTTTGGATGATTAGATTTTTCCGGAAACTTGAATTAGAAACAAGAGAAGGTTAAAACCAGGGTTCTGATGCAATAGAGTGCCAGTAAAAGTCGAGAACATGTACCAGTTTGGGAAACATCAATGAAGTTAATTAAACTTTGTTTTATTGCACGAAACTCTATTATAACTCAGTTAAAACAATTAGAATAGTTTAGGGAATTGCATCAATTTATTAAAATTCTCGAAAAGTTCGGAAAGCTTCATAGAAGGGTAGCGAATTTATAGTAGTTCAGCGATCTTTGTACAAGTTGAGCGAATTAAACAGAAAATCAAGAAGCTTCGCAAAACTTCTTAGCAAGGAATTATGTAGAAATTAAGGGAACTTTATAGCTAGATTATTCGGCTATTCGGCTATTCGGCTAGATTTTCGAGAATTTCGTGGAATTCAGGGAGTTTTGTAGATGGGAATTGTTTATGAGAAAGTTAGAAGATACTGAGAAGTAAGCACATATCATCGGTAAGAGACGTGTGTGTGAGGAAATTTTCGAAAAAAAAAATGTAAGGGCATCGATGGGATTAGAACCCACAATTCCCATTCAGTACACAGGTGCATTGCCAATTATACAACGGTGGACCTATGGTGTACCTAACGATGTATTTGGCTAATGACATTTGAGTTTCGAATCCGTTCCCCTTCCTAGTCTTTTTGCGCAAGCGTTCTCTAATACACAACAATCGTCTATTATCGACGATATGTGCTTGTACCGCAACCGCTCAGTATCAGTCGACGTGAACAAACGTCGAGTAGGGTTGTCCAATAGAATAGAATAGAATAGAATATAGCGGAGAACTGCCGGCCTCACAAATGTCATTAGCCAAATACATTCGTAGACCATAGGTCCACCGTTTTATAATTGGCACCCGTGTACTGAATTGAAATTGTTGGTTCGAATCCCGCCGGTGCCCTTAGATTTTTTCGTAAATTTTCACGCACACACACACACGTCTCTTACCGATGATATGTGCTACTTCTCAGTATTTTCTAACTTCTCATAAACAATAAAAATCTAACTATAAGTCACTAACCGTAATTTAAAAGTAAAAAAGTAGATGGGAATATTGCAGAAATTCCAAATAATGTTCTGTGATCTTGGTTAAATTTCTGGGAACAGTAACTGAGACATAGGAAATATTTACAAGTTCAGCCATCTTGGTAAACATTTAGTTGTACTTTGTGTAAGCTATAAGTTCTGAAAACTTCGTAGAAGTGGACGCAACTTTCCAGCAATTCGCAAATCTTTCCATATATTTAGTGATCTTCATATATGCTAAGGGATTAGTTAAATGAATTGGGAATAAGTTCAGGGAGCTTTATTTGAGTTCATGGAATTTAATTCAAGAAACTTTGTAGTAAGGTTTATTCAGTAATATTCTAAAGATCTGAAACACTGCTTCACAGAATTGGAAATGTTTTCAAAATTGAGACATCTTCGAAGAGATTCAACCTTTCTGTGAGACGTTTGCGTGTGTGTAGCAACAAAGTGAATAAAAGATTAAAAGGCAATCAAGAAAATCAAAGTCCCAGAAGAGTTTATTCTAGCTAAACCGGAAAATTATCGCAAACCCTTCATTCAATGCAAACATAGATTGCTCCGAGGTATGCTAGCTCTAGGTCTGGAGGAGGCCAGCCCCTCCCGGCTTTCCTTTATTTACGCCAATGTTCGAGAGGAACGCATGTAGATCCAAATTTCTTTTTTCTTTTGATTAAACGTGTTGATGTAAATTTAGGTGCTTTGAGACTGACATATACGAGCGTCAATTTTGACATAAAATTGAGTCATAATCAGCGAATCCAAACACATAAAGCAACCAACGATACAGACAAAACGGTTGCTACGACTACCATGACAAACTCGCTCTGTAACATACACTCAAAATAATTCACACGTTGGAAACGATTATATATTCCATCGACAGAATAACGTAGCTTCTACGTGATAATTCAGTAACCATCTCGCTCACTGAAATGAGTGCTTTCATGTATGAATCACGTAACTCTTACGTGAAAAGTGCGATGGAAAAAATCTATGTGTGTTTTCACGTAGCATAGCTCGATCCGAGTGGTAGAAGGATAATGATATATTGCTTGCCTGCTTTGTTGCAATATACACGGATGAGGACATAGCTTGATACGAATCGAGAAAAGACATAACAAAAAAAATTCTATTAACACACGTGTATCATGTTCGGCTTTACTTCGTGAAGCAGCTTGCTAACAATTTGCTCGCTTCCTTCTACCGCCCCGAGTGCGTTGAGTCACACGCGCTGCTTGTCATGAAAAAGAAGGAAGAAGATTATATCATTATTACTTTGTACTTCTGACATAGCGTTATTATTCGGTTCGTTGATCACTTGTCATTTTGTCATTTGAAGATATTTTTGATTCCTTGGTCATAATAGACGTGAAATTCAGGTCAATCAAACGTACTTTCGAACTTTTCAGTCTCGGAGCACTTAATTTTACATGATATGTTTGTTTACGTCTCATCCTTTATGTCAAAGATGGATTCCGTCACGTGTAAGATTAGGTATTTCTAAGTGTGTAGTTACTCATGGAGTAACCATGACTAACCACTATGACAGGCTTGGTTAGAATTGATGGTTTTTATTTTATCCATTTCTGAACCAAAAGAATTCAAATGCGGTGCAGTTTGAATTCATTGTGTATTTGACATCTATCATGGATTGATTTGGTGAGTTTGTTGATGTGATGTGATGATTTTTCGGGTGCATTCATGTTGAAACGTAATTCATTTTTAGGGAGAAAAGATAGGTTCCACTATCGCAATCTTCTACGCAGATTGGCTCTTGACTTATTTTGTTTCTTCAGAAATCAGATTTTTATTAGTAATTGACATTCATTAAGAATCCCCCTCAGCTTTGTAATCGTCAAATTCACGCATGATCGCTATCATTGGATTGTCAGTGGAAGGTTATCAATGATCCCCATGGTAGCGATCATTTGCCAATCATCATTTCAATAAAGTGTGGCCCTCACTCTGCAGAACCATCTCGGGTTCCATTTGATCTTACAAGGAACATCGACTGGCAGAAATATGCAACGGCGGTGACAATCGGTGTCGAATCAATAGATGCGCTTCCACCATTGGAAGAATATCGATTCCTAGCCGATTTG